CTCTACTGCAGTGAGAAAGTCCTACCCCTTCCACCCTTTCTGGGATAAAGTGAGGTCATATGTATAAATGCAGCTGTTTCACATAAGCTCTGTCATATTTTGGTGTATGTCTAAATCTTCTTTTTTCTCTGTTCATTTTCTGAAGGATAATCACCTCTTAGCAGAGGACTCCAGTCTCGGTGGCAGCAAACACCTGAGCAAAAGCAATACTGACATCTCGGGAATCACAGAGGATGAGAAGCCAAGACAGCCACTGCCTCGGAAACAGAGTGACTCATCCACCTATGACTGTGATACTATAACCCAGCATCATGCTTTCCTGTCTAGGTAACTAGTGTTTGATGACTGAATGAAAGAAACAGAATTGTCATTGAACAGAGCACAGTCATTGTTACTGTTCATGGTGTACTTCTGGAGGTTTGCTTAAAGTCCTTGTCTACTCTTGAGAGAAAACCATGGATTTAGTGGGCCTAGTATGAACTTACTTACATGTGGGAAGTTTTGTACTTAATCCTTATTCAGTTGTGAGAGTTTTGAATATGCAGAAATGAATGCAAGCAGTTCAATTTCTTCAGTGCAGCCCACTCAATCAGTATGGATGAATACTTTGTAATTGTAAATTTCTGTTACCTGTGTCTTTCTAAAGATCCCTCTGACTTCACTTTCAGGATTTTTATTCTGTAAAGAGTAAAATTGTTTTAGGTGCTCCCATTGGTCTTTGAGCTATTCAGATCAGCTTTAAAACAGCAACAGAAAACCCCTGCTGTAAACATTTGGCTTAAATGAGGAAGTTGGGGGAGGAGAGTTGACTTAATTAGCTTTCCTGGATCCTAAGAAACCTTTGAAATAAAGATTTGATGGGAACATAAGTATTCCCTTTGTCTCATTGGTTCTGCCTGTTCTAAGTTATTTGGTTTTTTACTTTTCTGAATTATTTGGGGTTTTGTTTCCTCCATCATCTTATTTCCTTTAGTTCATTTTGAATGATGCAGAGGGATAAGTCTTACTGTATGTTGTAGTTTCAGTCCTGCTACAGAAGAACATAGTGCAGGCTTACTACTGTGCTTTGCTTCGAGTCTGGCAGTTTTCTTAGTAGCAGGTAGTTTTATATTCTTGCTTTGACTGAATGTCTTTTGCTTTGTTTTTGTTGACTGTTCTGCTTTCATTTTCAAACCATTATATTTTCTGGATATCAATGTGTTGTCAAGCGTTTTCCCTTTGCAACAGAATGGTTGTTTTTCATTTGTCTACGACTGAGAACATGAAGTTGTATTTGGTCAGTCACTTCTAGGTTTTTGTATAGGAGTACTGTGTTGTGTTTAAGGCATCGTGCTGGCTTGTTTAAAACACTTTAGACTTGGGGGATAATAGGATAGTGGAAAGGCAAAGATAATAGTTTTCTTCCAGCATTTCTTTGTTTCCTGTTTATCTCTGATTTTCAACTGAAAGCTTTACATGAGCTGTACTTAAACTAAGAGATAGAAGCGTTACCGTCCATTCACATTTTGGACTCCTCAGGCTTTAGGCTGTTGTTAAGTTGTTGAGGAATAGCTGGACAAATACAAGCTGAAGACAGCAGGAAAAATTCCTTGGTAAGGTAAAGAGGAGGTAAAAAACAAATTAAAACCAACCGTGTCATCCTCTGACCCACCCTGTACATAGAGGTTCCAAGTCCTTTGTTTCCTGTGTGAGACTTGCTTCATTTCCTTCAGTTTAGTGGAGGCATATCAGCATGGATGATGAGGTTACAGAGGTTGCTCCTTCATCTTTTGCAGATGATGGTTACAGAGGCTGTTCTTTCAAAGAAATATTGTTGCCCTACACACTGTGGTTGTGTTTCAGTGTGTCATCTTGTGCTCTTTGTCCAAGTGCTTGTTGCATAGAGAGTTAACTCTGAACTGCTGTGCTGATGGATTTAAATCTTGACTTAATTTCTGCCCTAAATGGGCCCTAAGTTTGGTTCCCAGGGTTATAGTTAATAATACCAGGTTATAAATTGAGAATATCACTAGGTTCTCAGATTGTAAGAAGGTTTGGCCTGATTCAGGATCAGTCTTCAGGATTTCTGGATTGTGATCTATGCTTGGCCACAGATAAAGCATGTAGTGTGCAGATAACTCACAAAGTCCCTCTGAAGTCAGCATGGTCAGCATCTCAAAGTCAGGCTCTGCATGCTCTGGAGGCATGTTCTGCTCTGTCTCATGGCTGGACAGCAGGTGTAAACGCTGGTCTTCTGCTCCATGTCTAACAGAACTAAATGAAGGGTGAGCCCTTTCTTTGTCAGTGAGGGGTAGGTGGTCTGTATTTACCTCATGCCTGTATGGTATACAAAGTAAATGAAGGCATTTAAATTGCTTAAAAGATTAAAAGCTGTTTATAAGCATCACTGATTTTAACCTATGACTCATAGCTGAGAAGTAGTGGAATTCTAGGTCATAGCTCAGGAATGTATTAGAACAATGCTTTTTATGTACCTGGGTAACATACTTTGCCTGTAACCTTTTAATGCCTTTGTCCTTACACAGCTTGAGTAGATTAGAATTTTTAGCAGAAGTTTAAATGTAACTTGCATACATCTGTACTGATAAAAGGGAGGGGAGGTAAACTTCAATCTTCACAGTCCTTGAGTAACTTGACCAATAGTTTTCTGTAGAATAATTGTACTAAACTCTTGCTTGTGGAAGGTAGTAAATTTATGGAATAATCGCACTGAAAATCCTAAGTGGCTGCTATCTTGCAATATCAATCTACAGTTTAAGGTGTATTGCTTGGACCTAGATGTGGATGCTAGAGCTTTCTAAGCAGGCTGGGTTTTTTCTCTGAATGCCCTCTTTATTGTTGTTGAATCAGTCCATTTTCTTTGCTCAGCATCCATTCAAGTGTGTTGAAAGATGGTGCAGACTTTCCTCCTGTGGATTCCAGTCTCTCAGAAGTAAACCGGGGCCGATTTGAATTTGAGGTGTCTGATTTCTTCCTCTTTGGATCGCCACTTGGTTTGGTGCTGGCCATGAGGAGCACTGTTTTGCCTGGCCTGGATGGTAAGCTGTTCCTGGGGTTAGAATACAGGATGCCTAATAACCTTTGTAAACAAAGAGACTCACACAGAAGGAGGTAAATAAATGAACCTAGTTAAAGACTGGGGAGTGAGGCAAGTTTCTTCCTCTAAAAGATGGGAGTGTTAATGTAGGTAGGTACAGAGGTGATGAGGGTTGTCCCAAGTATGTCGCTGCTCACCCGTTTGCAGAAGTGTCTTGTGCTCTGCTGTTAATCTTGTATTCCACGTCATACAACATGAAGCTCACACTTCACCAAGGGTCAGTCCTTGCAAACAAT